ACAGCTACTTGGAAACTACTTGGAATCAGCTCATGGCTGACACATTTCTCCAGTAAACAGACTGCACAAAGCGTATCCCAAAGTGCCTTTTTAGTCTGCTGCATTAGGGTGAACAAGCACTGCTTTTAATGAAGTAATTGTTATTTAATAGTTTTTATCAACTTCAGGGGAAATTGAGGCCTCAGTTACGCTACAGAAGCTTAGGGGTAGAGCAACGGTGGCATGGATTGATCGATAAATGTTCCTCGGGGAGGTAGAATGTATGGCAGTTTCCCAAAAACGCAATAAACTGCCTGGCAAAAGTACTCTTTTTTTCTTCCCTCCCTTCCCACCACGTGGAGGCTTTGGCCAGCACAGCTATGTCAGCTAAGGGTGTGATATTTTTTCACGCTCCTAATTGACGTATTCATGCCAGCAAAACTTCTAAAAGCAGTCCAACCTCAGGTTATTATTTTTTCTTTTTCGGTCAGTCTCACTATGCCAGATGGAGAATTTGTCTTTGCTTGTGCAGGCCAGGATACTTAGCCAAACCTGCCTTTCTGAGGAAAATCACTCCTCGCTCCTTCTAGGAAACCCTCAGTTTCTTGGTAAACAATTTGTTGTATAGTGATTGAATCTGAGGTTGAAAGTAATATGGATAAATATGAGGATTTTTGTTTAGTTTTGTTTACCTTTCCCTTTCAGTTGATAATTGAGCAGCATCTCTCTGACTGTAGCGATCATGTAAAATTGGGGGGAAAAACCTGTTGTCTCCTAGGAGTACTACTTTATTGGCTGGATTCCTTTCTGTGACACTTGTCATAGCGTTTTAGAGCAGAAGACATTAATTCTGCAGGATTCTTGGTAGCATCCTTGGCATTAGTGTTTAAACAGAACCTGGGACTGCTGTGGTAACTTAATATGAACACCAATAACACACGAAATGAAATCTCGTAAGGTGCATTGCTGCTTCGAGGGTCAAATGATGCCAGAGGACTTGGAAGCAGGGTTGAAATATTTCCCTTTATTGGTATTGACACAAGAAGGCATACCTGACAGCCTCCTGTACTCTGGCGACGGCTAATCATTATCGAACACCTCCGTGGTTTTTATAACCTTTCTCTCAGCAGAGATAGCTGCTTGGGTTTTCTCACTGTTTAGGGTTTTTTTGTTCCACCTAGAGGAAGTCTGACTTGGCTTATCAGTGAATCGTTCTTGCGTATGTATAGAACTCTGAAGCTGGTTTAGCCTGAGAAGCACTCATAGAGGCTAGGCAAGGATTCAGAGGAGACCAGTAAAGGAAACTGTTTAACCAAGGAACCGTGCAGATGTTTCTACAGGCTGTTGAGATGTGAATTTCTGGTTACCTGATCTGCTCAGGCATTGCCCTGACAGGGTCTTGGATTGTCGCACCGTTGCAGAACGGGAGTGTGTTTGTAGGAGTCTACTTAATGATGCAGAAAACAAGACAGTTCCTTTCACCTGTACTGCGTGGCTTAAAAGCAAAAGAAACTTACTCTGATTTGAAAACTCAGGTCTCCTTTCTGGTAACTGATTTAAACGTATAAATACCAAGCAAAGTACATCCTTGGATCATAGAAATGTATCCGTTGGACCTTTTCTTTTTTTAATGCCTGTGGTGAAACCCAGAAGTCACTTGCTGCCCTGGTCAACAGCAGTGGTAGAATTTCTGCAGTGTTGGGTTGGATGCATTTTCTCCAGGTTTAAATCCATTACCTGAAGGGTTTGTTTTTCATTAAGCTTGTCAAGCAAGGTACTTCATGAAGACTTGTATACAGAGTCTGCGAAATGATTCAAACAAACACGTATGTATTAGTAATTGCTTTATTTGTCAGCTTATTGTAAAAGTGTCTGTCAGATGTTCCCAGGTCTATCACCTCCAACTAGGATTATCAAAGGAGCCTAAGGGTGTTACGCCTTTGAAATTCCAGGCAAGTCAGCCTGGGACTGTGCCTCCATTTATTTTTGAGCAGTCCTGACAGGGGATAATAAATGAGCCCTATTGCTTTACTATTATGACGGCTACCACTGAAACCCATCCTAACTTTGCTAAATGTGTCAGCAGTATCTGTTCATTTATTGTGTGTAACTTAAAAAAAAAAAGAAAAAAAAAACCTCTATCAAACCAAAAACATTCCTTTACTTAAAACCCCATAGTCGCAATTTGTCATGCTCAATGCTTCTGCATTTTGTTAAATGATTCGTTTTTGGTTGTTGAGAATGAAGACATGGGTTTGGTCGGAGATTTTAGGAGGTGAGGTATTCAGATGTATATGGCTGCTGCTGATCAGTTTGGTGCCATGCTGCCAAAAGCATGCAGCACGGTAAATTGGAGGACCCCTTCTTTTGTTTCTTCTGCTGTACTTTGCATCAAAGGTGACCTAGCCTGCAGGTAAAATTTGCCGTAAGTGAACCAGGAAACAACATGGTGTCGCAAGCTTTCTTGGCTCTCACTGGGAGAAGCCTTAATGCACTCTAGGAAGCAAGACCAGCTATAAGAAGAGCAAGTCAATAAGAGACCCTGCTACAGACTGTGTTTAAACAGCTGCTTCCCCATGCAGCGAACTTGAACTCCAGTTTTAAAAGGCACTGAATTAGTTTGTTATCTCCATTTGTTGTGGTTTCCCAATATCATTTTCCCTGCTGATTATTTTCTGTGCTTGCTGGATGTGTGGGTGTTGGGGGCAGCAAAAAAGTAGTTGAAAAGGGCCCACAGTCTGCTCCCTAATCCCAAAGAGAGATTCCTGCACCTGTGCTGAGTCCCAACAACTTTGCCGGCCAAACAGCGGAATGGGTGGTTCAGACTGTCAGGTGCACCAGCAGAGTGGATTCACCATGCAACTAAACTGACCTCAAGGCTAGCTGACAGTGGGCACGGCTTGGTCCCGCAGCTTTTCTTGAGATTATGATGGTGCTTACCGGAGCTAATGTCTTAAAGGTCACCACACCGAAAAAGAAAGAGTAGTTTTCTGCTAGTTTGACTCCCTGAACTAGGCTCATCGTGGGCTCAGGCAAGCGTTCACACCAAAAAGCACAGGAGAGGCAGAGATGTGTATCCACTGTTGGAAGAGGGAAGAGGTCTTCTCCGTTTAGTGGCAGGTTGCACTTAGATTGTCTTAGCAACATTGTGAAAGCTCTGTCCTCTAAATAACCAACCTGGGAGAAAAGCAAAAAGAGCCACACGGGGGTAGGGAGGGGTGTTATATGTTTCCCTCCAGCTTATGTCGAATATCTGCAGTCGTAAGTGGTGTCAGATGACACTAGACTTAGAAATATCAGGCAGATGTATGGTTTCTTTCTTTGGAGACACGTGGTGATACCTAAGAAATGCAAAATAAGAAGAAAGAGGGACTTTATCCAAAAGTAGAACTCTACCCACTTCACACAAATGGAAATATTTTGAGGGCTTTGGGATCAGACTTATTATAAATAGAAAGGCTGCATCAGTACCTGGTGGAATAGAGGTATTAAAATATCATGAAGTATCGCTTGATGTAACCTTGTTCTTGGGACAAGGTTTTTCATGTTGTCTAGTTGAAAAATGCCCTGCCTGCCTATATGAAGCATTACTGCATAAATCTCTCTTTTACTGAGTCCCAGGTTCCAAAGCCGCTCACAAAACTTCAAGTTAGTACGTATTACGAGGCAGCAGTGCCACTGAAGAAATGCACCTTTGTCATCAGGGGCCTTCTTTGTTTTTGCTGTTTGTTTGAAATAGCGTTACTTTGCCGAAATGTGATTATAGTACTTAGAGTTTTAGTGCAGGTGAAATACTTGGTTGTCTTTCCTCTCCGGTACCTGAGACAGGAGCACAGGCGGACTCATTGCTGGTGTTGCCTCGCAGTGCTGCGGGGACTTTTACAGCTTCCTGGAGCTGTAAAAGCTTCCTCACAAAGCAAGTCCTTTTATACCTAGTGATTTGTTCTTTTTAATAGAGCTCTTCTGTTGAAGCTAAATTGCTTTTAAATCATGTATACAATGGCACTTTTGTTGGGGAAGCCAGAGCTCTTTTGTGTTACCCTGTTGCTTTCAGAGTGGGCCTCAGGAAGAAAAGTTGACATTCAAGGGCATTATTTTGCTTCCTGATTCACAACTATGCCCAGCCTATCTGCCCCATTTGCATGGGATTTATTTGTGTCCCTGGCTTCTCTCCTACAAAGGGGCATTTACCTATGTTAATCTCAATTTCATTGGAGTATGGATTATGCTCCTTAGTGGGATTGGATGGTTTCAACACAGGGACTGACTTTACTAGCGTAACACAGAGATCAAGCAGCGCTGTTTGAAGAGATGGCTCCTGACTTATGTCGTCCTCTTTTTCTAGACTTTTTGTAGTTTTTCTGGAGGGGATAAATTGCATCTCTTCAAATCAGCAGTTTTTTATTAAACAAAAGACAGCAGTTATTTTATCTCGCAGCATCTTGAAAAGCCTCTGGGAACTAATAATGCTCTGGAGTTGACTGTACTGCCACAGCCACAGTGAGGTTGATTAAAATGGCAGTCGTGCTGGAAGGCCAGTCTAGAGCACCTAGAGCGAGCGTAACATCCTCTCACTTTGGTCAGTTCACTAGAGCTGGTAACAAAACATTTATTTCTGCTTATAGACTACGCACATGTTTGTCACTGTGCAAGAGATGAGGATTTTTGTTAGCTTCGCCTTTTTCCTTTTGCCAGAGATGACGATTTGTAGCTTTGAGGTGCTGCCCATCAGCCAACGTACTGTGGCAGTGCTTTCAGTGAACTCCCACCTGAAGCTGCTTTACAGATAAATCCATCTTTGTGTTAAATTCTTCCATTGCAACTGCCCTCTGTTACTTCTGCACTAACCAAAAATTGGAACAAAAGCCAAGTCTCTGTTTAGTATCGGACCTGAACTACTAATGTAGTAGTAGCATTAAATATCACGATAGTCCTTAGGTTTTCTGTAGAATGTGTTATGCTTGGCCTTGCCCATTTGAGCCAAATCTAAAATGAAGTGGTTGCTTTCTTTTGTTGTGCAGTGTCAAAAAAACACGGCAAGCTCATCACCTTCCTTCGTACATTCATGAAGTCGCGCCCAACAAAACAGAAGCTGAAGCAGCGGGGGATCCTGAAGGAAAGGGTGTTTGGATGTGACCTGGGAGAGCATCTTCTCAACTCCGGCCATGACGGTAAGAAACAACCCATGCTTGAGTTCTTCCTCTGTTGGGGATTTTATTTCAGAGTGAGGGCATCTTGTGAGGTGCTTGTTGGTACTAGTGGAGAAATGTGTAACAAGAACTGATGTCTGAAAGATAAACTGAGGGTAATCCTAATTAGAAGCAAGCATTGTGTTTTGAAGTGAGCACACTGAAGAGGGACAGAACTGCCCAAGATGGGTTCTCAACCTCTTGAAGCCTTTGAATAAATAATATTTTTTGGCAGGGGCATAAACTTTACTTGTGATCAGTGTCAATGAGGAAGTAGCTGTTAAGTCCGTGCATTTCTCTCTCACTCACTCTCTTCGTATGATCGTAGTACAATCTGCAGCATAGGTCTTCCGTCTGCCTTTCCCTGGATTTCACAAAATTTACAGGAATTAACTGGGTATTTTGTTTCATTCTTTTTTCTCACTCTGTCACAGTCACTTTTCTGTTGCCCTTCTCTGTCCCTTTCACCTCCCCATCAGCAATTTGGGGAAGCAGTGGAGAAGAGGTGTCCGTTCCAAGAAAAAAAGCTGTTGTTACTTTTCCTGGGATGAACTTTGTTTCATGTGAAATCAGGGAGGTACCTGCATTGCTGAGTAGCCAACAGAGGACTCAAATTCTTTCACAGTTCACTAGCTGTCAGAGGTCATTCCCATAAACGGCCCATGCTGAGGGTTATTTAGGAAAGCAGCATGGAGCAGTCCTGGGCTGTATCCAGTTTACCCAGAGTTAAAGCCATCAAAAAATGAGAGATGGCTATTGCGTTACTGACTGGCTATCTCAGTTTGTTGCTCTGTTTTATATTTTTGCGCCTTGCCTAACGCACTAGATTCTGAATCCATAAAAGCAGCAGACCTCATGCGCCAAAGTTCTTCAATCTTACGTCTCCCAGCTTTGGTGCGGAGGCTAAGGAGAGAAGAGTCGGGTAGGAAAGGAATTCCTCTGTTAAATTTGTTTCAAGTGGTGCTTTGGACTCCTTGTTCATATGAGTGCCTTTTGGAAAGGGGATGGTAAAGGGTGGGGAGCAGTGTTTCGTGCACTCTCTCTGACTGATTCAGTTGGTGGCAGCAGTGTGTACTCCCTTGTCTGACATGAAGTAATTGACTACCAGTTGGTGAGTAATACGAGCTTGTTCTTATGGCATCAGCACTGTGGCAAGGCTCGTTGGTTTGTTAATTGGAACCAGTAGAGATGGTTATTGCTGGGGCTTGAAAGGCATCAGAGAGCCAGAAACTGGATGGTTTGGAGGCGGAGGCTGAGACGGTAACCCCCATAAGAACGAGATCAGGAATAGGTAATTTACACCGCCGGGTAAAGGTGTAGGGCTGGTTTTCTGTTCATCCTGGGGGAGCAATCTTAGAGGGCAGGAGACATGCCAGCAGAGTGAGCTCATTAATGGGAAAGAGAATTCTTTTCCCTTGTCCTGTCCATTTTAGTTAGACCCAGGTCAGCAATAATTAAAGCTTTTCCCTGCTCTGCGTGCTGACTCCTTTCCCTAGCTTTAAGAAGGGAGCATTTTAGTAAGCAATACAGGACAAATCTGAGCTGAACTAAACTGTTCTAACTCTACTGGTGGCTCCTGTATGACAGTGTCTGGTAGTAGCTCACTCCTTGTCCTGGTCATTCCCCATCCCATCATGTGCATCTGAGTGACTATGACTGAGCTGTACTAATGAGGTCTCCTCATCTAAGGAGTTACCAGTTGCTTTCAACCTTGATTTAATAACTCTTTCCTAACTCCCTGGAGTGAAGCAGATCCAATTTGAATGTTGCTAACAGGGGCATGTCTCCATTTCACACAGCAGGATTGTTTTTTTTCTGTGTGATTCAGCTCTCTGACCTGTATTCCAAGTGATGTAATCCCCGGGATTGGTTTTGTGGAGACATTTCTGTGTTCCAGTGAATCAAGCTCTGTGCATGCACAGCATTTTAAGATTCCCTCATTCTGTAGCGTTAAGGTTTCTCAGCCTGGGAGCCAACTGTAGTGCCGATCTGTTGAAAGGGGATTGAGATGTCACAGGAGAACCTCAGCTGAATTACACAGAGCAAAGACGCAGTCCTGTTCCTTCACCTCATAACCAGAACATAAAGGTCTTTATAGGAGCACAGAATACTTCAGCTCAAGTCTATGCATGGTCTCTACTGGTAATGCTTTGGGATTACAGCCATAAAACATCTCAGCTCAGGAAGACTAAAAAGTATCCAGTTATATTACGTTTATGGAGCACTTTAGATCAGTGTTGGTTTTGGTGCATTGCTGCTCAGTATGCAAAAGATGTAGCCATGCTGAAGGAGAAAATAACACCATGAAACAACGTGAGCAATCCCAGTCTTGCAGTCGTGAACATCTGCAAACTGCCTTTTATATGTTATGTGACTAGACTTGTGCTAGATAACTGAGATTCGCTTTTATTGTTTCTGCAATAATTGGATCGTGAATGAGTTAGCTATCTAAGCAGTTCCACTGAATTAAGTAAGGTTGTTTAGAATCACAGAACAGTTGAGTTGGAAGGCACCTCTGGAGGTCTCTAGTCCAAACCCCCTGCTCAAGGCAGGGAAAAAGTTGCTCAGGGCCTTGTTCACGGATTTGAATATCACCAAAGATGGACACTCCACAACCCCTCTGGGCACCCTGTTCCAGTGTTTGACCACCCCCACAGTAAAAAGGTGTTTTCTGCTGCTAAGTTGAATTTCCTGAGGAAGCAAGAATAACCGTGCCAGAACTGGACTTTTGTTTTAGATACGGAATGGTGAGAGACAGGAACAGATCAAGAGAATAAAAGGGATAAGGGAGGGCAAACACTGAGGTAGACTTAACATTTTTTAATGAACACTAAATTGAAGCAGCTCACTCAGATGACTTAGCTAGGGGAAGAGCATAGGGTTTATAGCATGTCTGTATACCCACAGGGGAGTTTACAAACAAGAAGTGTTGTACCCAGTGCGATATGCATGCCCTTTTTTTCTGTTTCTCCTGTTGTCTTTCTCCGCATTCTGCATCAGTTGTGCCTTTTTCTAAAGGAGATGTATATTTGCATGACATGTACAGGAGGGAGGTGACATAGAAGTGTGACCTGTCTCATTGCTATGGAGCAAAAGACCAGGTGATACCAACCTGCAAAGCTCCTTATGCAGGCTTCACTTTCAGCGTGTGCTGCGTTCCAATCCAGCAAAGCAATTTATCTTAGTTTACCTCACATTTTGAGATCAGTGAGGATGCTTTTGCTGATGGCCTAACACTGAGGCAGAGTGTTCTCTTTTCTGAAAGATTCCTCTTTGCTTGGCATGGCAGAACTTGCATCTGCTAACCTTCAGGGCATAATAGGTCCGTTTACTTGAGTTTCTCCTTAGGGGAGGGTGTCTAGGTATGATAGGATGAGTGGAGCAAACAGTCCTGTTGCTACTGCCTTTTTATTTTTGATGAGGATGCAATTTGTCATTTTTTTTAATTGTCATGTATGAACCTGAGAAGTAACACTGTAAACAAGCCAGGTGTAGGGAGGGAAGTGTGGCTTTTAACAGATGTTTACAGTAACAGCAGTACGAATGAGTACTGCACCTTAAATTTTTTTGTATGGCTGTGATGATTCACGTTGGGGATTGCAGCGATTATTGGGCCGGCAACTGTGGACAGGTGGTGTCTTGGGGAGGGTGGGAGGGTGGTTCTTTTCTTTCTGGTTTGTAGTAAGCTCGTGCTTTGAGCCCTCGAAACAGTGATAGGGCCCTTTTGTGGGAGGAGTTATACCTCCGTGTGGTATGAAACAGTCCTTTCCCGAAGGTCCTTGTAGACAAGAGAGCAGATGAGAGGAAGGAAGCATCGCAGCACTGTTTTTCAGATGAGGATCTGAGTGACGGGAAGATGTGAAGATAATGTTTTCAGAATTATCTGTATTCTAAGCTGCTTTTGGAAACAGGCATTAGGAGCCACAAGCTCAGTAAATCATGCTGAAAGGTGATGGGATTTAGGTCCTAATTGCTTTGCCAAGAGTCAACCAGGAAGACTCTGCAAGATTAGAGATTAGGACTCCGTCCATCATCTTGGCGCATTGTCTTAGGGGGTGTGATTATTCAGGACAGGCTGGAGATAGCCCAGGTAGCTCAGATACCAGTACCAGTCTAAGTGGAGTTCAGAACAGACCGCTTTGGCTTGAGACCGTTCTTCTGGTTGCTGGGGCTCAGGCAACCCTGGCCTTTTCCGAGTCAGGGAATTAAGCAGTTTGTCTGAGGTTATACAGAGAGCGGACAAAGGATTCAGAGCCGCAATCCAGGCTTACTGCTCACAGCCCTGACTGCTGGGCCAGGCTGTCAGACGCTGGCGTGTTGTTTCCAGGGGAAATGACAGCAGACTGTCCTTTGTGTTTCTTTTTCGTGTCGCATATAAATACTGAATAATGGGCCGATACTTGTAGGAGTAAAATCAATTTTGAGATGAAGGATTTTTGAATCCTGTTTTGGTTCTAAATCTAGTAAAGGTTGTGATGATGTTCCCTTAGAGTATGTCAGTTTGCCCGATACCACCCAGTCAGCTCCAGTCACCCGAAGGAGCCAATGGAGCCTGCCTCAAGGGGCCTGTCTCCATTTAATTTTAATGTGTTATTCATTTGTTGGCTCCTTCCAGGTTTTGAATGCTTCCCCTGCCAATGAAGCGTTATTTGGAAGCAGACCAAGCTCAGTAGGGAGTATCTGTTTCTTCATCGCTGTGAGAGATATTCCCAGTTGGTTCAGCCTTGCTGACCCTTGCCACGCTAGTTCGTCTTACGGAGCTGCAACACGCAGGAAATTCAGTGTAATTCTTGAGTAGCGACGAGCCCTTGTTCCCTTTGTAGGTAGAGATGGAGAGACTTTTTTTCTCCTGAATTCCTCTCTTAAAGGAAACCAAATTGAACTGAAATTTAGCTTGACCCCAATTAGAAAGAATGGTGTTTGCAGAGGTTGTGTTTGCTTAGTGTGGGAGTTGGTAAATGCTGCATTGCAGCATCTGCGTT